CAGTAAAGCATCTCAGAAACAGCGAATGACCTTTCAAACGTTTTATCTAAAAAATGTTCAGCCCAACTGGCTGAGTCGTAAACTAACAGCATCAGTACCAAGTAAAGTCATAGCCTGCGTGGCAGGCGTTTGAAAGGGAAGGGAAAGGGGCTTTTGGGCGCGAGGGAAACGCGAGGGGCGCGCCCCTCGCGTTTCTCTCGCACCTTAAACTCCCTTTCCCTTCCCTTTCAAACGCCTGCCACGCAGGCTAGTAAAGTCAAGGATTCGTTTGGTTCATTTCAAGACACTTGATTGAAAGGTAGTTTTTGTCCGCTGAGACTATGATAAATGATCGTGAGGATTTTTTAATTTAGGATGATATCTGCTTATCGTAAGTCTTTAGTTCGATGAAACATGTGTCCATGACGGTATTTTTTCTGAGAGCACGCTTGATACGAACACCCATACAGTGCAACCCGGTTAATACGGACACCAAGGGGACATGCCATAGTGTCCGTATTATCCGGGTGTCCGCATTAAGCGGGCTCTCAGAGAAAACGTCAGGAACACATATTTTATCGATATAAAGACCAAAGCAGACAGTCTTGCGAACCAAGGATCGATAGAAGTATGTGGAAAGGCAGCCCAGCGAGGGGAGCGGAGGATGATCCTGGTACAGCTCGCAGCAAGCAAACAACGTCAAAGAGGAAGAAGGTTAACAGCAATGACTGCAGCAAAAAGCCAAGGAAGTGAAACGTGTGTAACAGGAAGCAGAAAACTTTATTAAAGGACTATACGTAGTACAAGAGTCAAACACCGGAAGAAAGACAGACTGTTCAAAATCAAATATGTCACGCTACTTTGTTACTTTTTTTTTTAGTACTGTAATAAAATTTTATTCACCGGTAAAAATCTGTCATTATTTGAACAGGGTACAATCAGGGGCACCCAACGACAATTTTCGGAAAAATATCTGTTCGGAAGACGATTTGAGATCTAGAAGTTTCGGAACATTTGTTGTAAAATTTCTTGCTCGCTTGCCTCTCCTAGGATTTTCGAACAAATAAAAAATGGTATACCTGCCCATTTTTAACTAATTTTTACCCTAAAAAGTTCACCTAGAATTTTCGGGAGCCTATTTTCTGGCTAAAATTTTTGAAAAGGTAAGTTCTGATCCCTATAATTTTCGGATCACTAGACTTTCAGCTAGGAAATCCGAACAGATGAAAAATTTTTAGGCGATAAAAATACGCCTATATCTACCGTAACGGTTTAAATACTAAAATACATTCAACAATGCTATGTTTAAGTGGTTTTGAACTATATTCTTGTTGGGTGCCCCCGTACAATGTCTACAATTATCTCACATATGCCTATATCTACCGTAACGGTTTAAATACTAAAATAGATTCAACAATGCTATGTTTAAGTGGTTTTGAACTATATTCTCGTTGGGTACCCCCGTACAATGTCTACAATTATCACACAACTGTGACAATGAAAACAGGCAGTGTGCAGATAACCAGTGTCCGTAAAGCGGGGTTAACAATATATGAGAGTTTGTGACTCGGACACAGAAAAGTGTCCGTTGTCCGTATTAACCGGTGTCCGTATAAAGCGGGTTAATTTTGGAGAAAATATGTGAGCTTTTTGTCGCGACAAACGAAACTGTCCGCGGGTGTCCGTAGAGCGGGGTTACACTGTATTTTCTCTTCGTTCCTTCCCATAAGTCCTCGCGCATCTCAACCTAGCCCCGATCTTCTCTCACGGTTGTGACTAGAATGCATGGATACCCCAAAGTCAGATTGTCATCTTCTCTCACCCCAAAAACACATAAATAGCGGCTGGGTACGAGTCTGACGAACAATGGTTTAATGGTTCATTTATTTCACATTCATTACAGAGAATAACATAGAAGTTTGCCGATGTCCGTGTAGTTGCTTAACCTCTCTATTTTAACCCGCAGTTATGGCTATTTACATGAGGTCATTTCAATTTGAGAGGCTCAGTTATTTTTCAGAACTTGCTATTCCAATTTATGGTAGTAATTTTGAGCTAAAACGTTTCCGGGACACTTAATGGCAGTCTTATCCTGTGTCAGTCAAGACTGTCCTAGGTAAAGTGATCAACGCAGAATTCCTTATCTAGTAGATCGGATATAAAATATAGAATCGGGAACCAGAGAAGACACAAAAGAAGATGAGATAGTAGGAGGCCCAGGTCAACCGGACCTTGAGATAAGGTGTGGAGGGGGGTGGGGGGAGGGGTTAGAGAGTCTGCTTGTCCCTGGGGCCCTTTGGTTGATCTGAAAATAGGGGGGTGGGTCTCTCCCAGGCCTCACTCCTAGTTCCGCCACTGAAAAGCGTTTTATTTCTTTCACTGGCAAAGTTGACCAAAGTCAAAATCCAACTTCATAATTTCGTTTTGTAAAATGCTGAAAAACAAATACATACCTTATGAAAGTACTGCCAAAGAGGGTTCATTGGACTGATAACACCACAGAATTCTTTTTACAGCCTCAAATTAAACGGTAGAAACCAAAACTTGACCCTTATGACCTCTAATCTCTTTCGTATTTTACATTCTATTAGGGGGATCTTCTTTTCTTTGATATCAGAGAGCAGTGTAAGGACGAATGGGAAAATAAACTGAAGGAGATGGAAATGGAAGGAATTTGGGAAACTGTTACAAAAGAAAAATTGTCAGTGGACCACGATGATAAAACAACGCGTTTGTGTTTAAGCTCCCGTGAAAAATATTGATAACAGAGCTTTATAATGTAAGTAAGCATACTTGTAACTGGAGTTTTGTGTATTAGATACGCATTTCTATTTTCAAGGGCGTTAAATCAGGTTGTATATGGTTGTAGATGTGATGATGAAGTTTGAGCCCTATGAATACACGAGAAAGATGATTTTTCGGTCAGTGACACAGTACTGTCAGTCACTTAATGAAAAATAATCTTTCTTGAGGTGGTATTTGTTTACTTTGATATTTACAAGTCCATTTTTGTTTTCAAGGTTGAAAAAAGCCAACAGACTACAAAGAATCTATTTAGTAATATATAAGTTTTTTTCGTCGTCATCATCGTCATCGTCATCATCATCATCAGCATCATCATCATCAGAATCTATGCGTTTGGCGTTTTATACGGCACTTTTTGCCTTATCAAGTGTTATATTCTTGATCTAGACACTGCTTGTGAAAATAAATCTGACCAGCGGAAAATTCCTATGAAGTACTAAAAATTATTACCCTGACTTTTATTTAAGAATCTGAGAATGTTAAGTTGGGCTGTGATACAGTTGTCTAAGCTTTTTAAATGCATAATAATTTTGACAATCTTTCCAGATGATGTAGTCCTTGATAAAGCCTTAAACTGCTCCACTGGAAGCTTCCGCAATTCAATAGGGATCAGTTCCCATCATTAAAATTTCTCTAAAGAGATGTCTGTTTTATCCAGTCTAATAAACCTCCGAGGTAAATCTTAGACGTACAGGAATCCATCCTGTGATTTCTAGGTCTTCAAGCTGTCCATCTAAGCAAGTTCCAAAAATTCACAATAGGGAGCTGTTATCAAGCCAATACCGAGCAGAAAAATATGGTATACAAGAGACTGATTAGGGGCCTTAGTATATAGGCAACTGGAAGGTTAACGTCCTGGATGTCAAAAATGGCAACAGGAAGTTAATATTTTCTCTCTTTAGGTGCTCAGACGTGACAAATTTGCTACTTTCGATATATTAAAATTCAGCATCATAGCGAGTCTTGCTGGAAATACATCTGCTCGAGGGCTATTGCTTACTTGAGACAAACGCGACTCGCCCAAGCGCACTACATTTTCCAGTGCACGCGTGAAAATGTGAGAAAAGCACTTGCATCACGCTTTTTTTAAATAAACAATCAAATTAAGTGTGATGGTACCAGTGTGATGCACATTCCAAGCTGATGTTTTGCTAATCAACATAATTGGTGTTTGTTGTTTATGTTGTCGCTGTCGTCGTGGTCAATTAAGCTTTTGCGCTTTGAAAATTGGAATTTTCCGAGAGTTAAAGAAATTGCAAAATGCAAACCTTTTACATGTTTCCTTTTTTCTCATTTTGACGCGTGCATTGAAACATGTAGTTTGCTTGGGCGAGTCGCGTTTGTCTGAAGTGAACAATAGCCCTCGAGCAAATGTATTTCCAGCAGGGGTGGCTAACTTTGGTAAAGATATGTATCAGTCCCAAGAAAGACCAACCAAGGACACCCCGGATGGATTTTTTTGTACAGTGCCCAGGCCTCATTTTCTTGGCCGCGCGTTGATCTGGCCCGGCTACTTCGGCGAGCATATTCTAGGCCTTTTTGGATTACATCCTTCGAGTTTGTCAAATTCTGCGGGATTCTTTTTTCTATCTGGGAAAGCTTCATTGGTTTCTACATCTGCTGCTATCCTATAACTACGATCCTCGAATGTTTATTTGTTGTTGGAGTTCGAATTTCGTGGAAAACGTTGTGTTGAATGAGAGCATGGCGGCGAAGATGGCATCTCTTGTCTCCTACCTTGTATATTATAGTTGTATATAGAGTGAATTTGAACAAATTATCAGAAAACTTTGTTGGAGTAATAAGGACAACAACCTGACAACAACAACTAACTGCAGGGTAAGTTTCATTGACTTATATTTAGTATTTCCTACAAATTTTAGGATCGTATTTTTACCCCGTACAAACACTGTAATTTTGCTAGAACCGTACTGTCGTACTATCACTGAGCCTGGGTTACCTGTGGCTGAACCTTCTTAAAAAAGGCTCTTATGAAAAAAAAATTAGAAACAAACAACCAAAAAGAAAAAAAAGAATACACCGAACGCCCTAAAATTATTCAACAAGTTCTCAATAAATAAATCACTGAAATAGAAACGGAAATATACTCTCTACTTGTTTGGCCTTTTTTCTTGGATAATAATGCAATTAACAGTCCGAGCTCCTATTTCCCTATCAACTATCTTTAAGTTGCGGAACGTTCGCTCAGTCAAAGCATGTTGATCACCGTAAATTTCTCTTTTTATGGTCAGAGCCTTCTCAAAGTATTCTTTAGCTTCACTGTACTGGCCAAGGTTTCTGTAAACAGTTCCCAGATTGTTCTAACTTGCTGCTACGTCACCATGCTTTTCACCGTAAATCTCTTTTCTAATGATGAGAGCCTTCTCATAGTATTCTTTAGCTTCACTGTACTGGCCAAGGTAACTGTAAACAGTTCCCAGATTGTTGTAACTTGCTGCTACGTCACCATGCTTTTCACCGTAAATCTCTTTTCTAATGATAAGAGCCTTCTCAAAGTATTCTTTAACTTCACTGTACTGGCCAAGGTTTCTGTAAACATTTCCCAGATTGTTGTAACTTGCTGCTACGTCACCATGCTTTTCACCGTAAATCTCTTTTCTAATGATAAGAGCCTTCTCAAAGTATTCTTTAACTTCACTGTACTGGCCAAGGTTTCTGTAAACATTTCCCAGATTGTTGTAACTTGCTGCTACGTCACCATGCTTTTCACCGTAAATCTCTTCTCTAATGATGAGAGCCTTCTCATAGTATTCTTTAGCTTCACTGTACTGGCCAAGGTCACTCTCACTGGACGAAAAAACGGATTTACTAATGTTTGCGAAAGGTGCAAATATGTGGTAAATTTGGAGCTCCAAATTTGCATTACATTTGCGCTGTCGGCTAAAGTGTGGGCAAATTCATATATTTGCTAGATAGGTATTGATACGCAAAAGTCAAGTAAATGTAATGGTTTGATACAAATTTGATACATATTTGCAGCATGGGCAAATCTTCAACATTTCTACCAATTTACTCAAATTTACATCCTTGGCAAAAATGACAGTTTTCACTGTACTTCAAATGCAGGCAAAAATATTGCAAAACCACTAATTTGCAGTGGTGTTTGCTCTTGTTTTTCCAGGATACCAAAAGAACACTTTTGCATGTGGTTTACTCGTATTTGCCTTAAGAGCGAAAACAATAAATTTCTACACATTTGGCTGTATCATAAATTTGAACATTTGTATCATAATTATCCATATTTGCAAGGGGAGCAAATATAGTGAACTGCATAACATTTGCTGACAGTCAAAGGTGATGTGCATGTGACATTTCCTATATGTTTGATTCGTTTTGTGACTAAAGTAAATTTCCAATCTCAACTGTAACATTACATTGTTACAATAAAATTTTGTACATGCTGTGATACTCCGCCAAGAGGTCCAATTCCTTACATGCATCTTTCCTGTTAACTGTTTTATATGCACTGTCATTTTAATATAAAGGAATCAGAAACCAGTTACTTTTTTTGACAATTTTACAGTCACAAATTTCTTCTGTTAGTCTTTTTACAGAACGAATCAAACTTGGTCCAAAATAAAAAGTTTTGTGGATTTCAAACTCAGGGTTGTGATTATTCACTTGTACACAATTTCCTCCTGGTCATTTAACCAACAAACTTAATTCAAATTAATACCAACAATTTTCGTTTAACCGGTATTTTTTGTAGTTTTGACTGCCCACCTAGAGATGACCGCATCTCGATGGTGGGCTTCCTAAAAATGACCACATTTTGAAAACCCAACAGCCAATGCTACAACAAAATATGGTGAAACTGCTCACAATTTTATTTGAACATTAACCCGTAAATTTGGTTTGAAAGTAATGTCACTCTATTGTCTTTTTTGCATCTCTCGCAAGTTAAAGTGAGAGTTCACAGAGACTGTGCGGTTTTCTCGAGTGCGTTTTAGAAGCTGCCGTAACAAAAAGGTTACTACACTACCGGAATTAAAACATCGTGGAAATTATTAATTTAAAGTCGCGGAGTATTTTCCCCAACAATGAATAATATTACCTCTAACTTTCTGCGATAACGCTGCAAAATTTTTTAGGTTATTTTTCAACCGAATAGGCTGCGAATTTAATGCGATGATCATTTTCACTTTCATACCTTCATCCGCATTTCATATATTTCAATTCATGCTTACAAGATCTCCCTAATTTTATGTCTGAACGCAAGGCTTTTTAATGGAATCTTCATTTCAAGGCCAGAACTAACACTAAGCGCTAAACAGAAACTGCCTTATGAAAAAACTTTTAAAATTGACGCGCTGTTTTAAAGGCCTCACTGGATCTGGATGGGGTTAAATAAAAACGTAAGCGAAACATTAATTTTGCAATATTTAAATAATGTCTAAAAAATAAAGCTTCCCTCTGAGATACCTGGCGAATAAAATTCTCACAGGGCCACAGGCTAAACAGGCTAAGCTGCTCTGTTGAATCAGGAAGGCCAAACTTTTTTTCTTAATGCTGGACAGAGATTAAAACAATATCTAAAAGCGCGTTTTTAGTTCCCTCCGAGACAACCGGAGAATAAATTCTCACAGAGCCACAGCCTAAAAAGGCTAAGCTGCTCTGTTGAATCAGGAAGGCCAAACTGTTTTACTTAATGCTAGACGGGGATTCAAAAAATATCTGAAAAGCGCGTTTTTAGTTCCCTCTGAGACACCCGGAGAATAAAATTCTCACAGAACCACAGCCTAAAAAGGCTAAGCTGCTCTGTTGAATCAGGAAGGCCAGACGTTTTTTCTTAATGCTGGACAGAGATTAAAACAATATCTGAAAGCGCGCTTTTAGTTCCCTCTGAGACACCCGGAGAATAAAATTCTCACAGAGCCACAGCCTAAAAAGGCTAAGCTGCTCTGTTGAATCAGGAAGGCCAAACGTTTTAGGGTCCAATAATTCTAAATCACATAACCACTTTGAAGTGAGTCAATGGTACACAACCTGGGAATGTGTTGCATTCCTCTTCTGTCATTTGATTATAATAAAGCCTAGGGTCGTACAACGGGCAAAGATGTCCGAATACTAAAACTAGAAATTCAAAATCACACAGTAACTGTTCTATACCGTACAGATCGAGGGCCCACACTACCTTCCCTTTATTATACAAGTAAATACACTACAACAAATCTACTGGACAAAGGTCCAGTAGTCAGATCATTTCCTGTATTTTTTGTACATCATACTAAAAAATCAAATGTGGTCCAAAATAAAAAGTTTTGTGGATTTCAAACTCAGGGTTGTGATTATTCACTTGTGCATAATTTCCTCATGGCCATTTAACCAACAAACTTAATTCAAATTAAAACCAACAATTTTAGTTTAACCGGTATTTGTTGTAGTTTTGACTGCCCACCTAGAGATGACCGCATCTCGATGGTGGGCTTCCTAAAAATGACCACATTTTGAAAATCCATCAGCCAATACTACAACAAAATATGGTGAAACTGCTCACAATTTTATTTGAACATTAACTCAGCCGACAAATTTATGAAAGGCTAATTTTTCTTACTCTGTTGTTTGCAACCCTGAGTTTGAGTTTCACTGATTTTAATGTTGATTTTGAGTTTTACTGTTCATGAAGTACTACCCATTCAATCCAAAAAAGTCATAGCATTTTTGCTGGCTAAAATTCACCTGAATCCTGGTTATTTGATCTTGGGATACAAGGAGCGGGGTTGTGGCTTCCCAACAAAAATTCTGATGAAGAGATGGTCTTCACGTACAGGAGCTACCAGTCAAATCCCACCCGACAAAGCCCCCCCCTCATAAAAAATGAACAGACCAACACTGGGTTACAGGAGCTCTGAGTTGGCCTTGGATCATGAAAAGTTTAAAGCTATAAAGAAAAAACTAAGGCGGTGAAACAAATTAACATGCAGCATTTATCCTTCCAGGCTGGGTTGTTCAAAGCTGGGTAAAGATAACCCAAGGTTAGTACGAAATATGAATTCAGATATGAAAGTTTTAAAAACAAATTCATTTGAATAATTCGTTTTGTCTACAATTTGGTGATTTGATACTTAAAAAAGAAAAGAGAAAATTATCTGACAAAATGCTTTTGATTAAAAGAGAAAAGAAACGCCGGTTAAAATCTAACCCTGGGTTAGTGCTAATCGCTCTTTTGAACAACTCGGCCCCGGTCTTTTTTTGGGTCCAATTCTAAATCACATAACCACTTCGAAGTGAGTCAATGGTACATAACCTAGGCATGTGTTGCATTCCTCTTCTGTCATTTGATCATAGTAAAGCCTAGGGTCGCACAATGGGCAGGGATCTCCAATTACTAAAACTAAAAATTCAAAATGACACAGTAACTGTTGTATATAGTTACAGAGGGCCCACACTACCTCCCCTTTACATAAAGTAAATACACCACAACAAATCTACTGGACAAAGGTCCAGTAGTCAAATAATTTACTGTATTTTTTCTACATCATAATATTATTATTAAAAAGCTAACAATAACAAGGCCACCCACAGTACCTTAAATTTGGTCCAAAAAAAAAAGTTCTGTGCATTTCAAAGTCAGCGTTGAGATTATTCACTTCTACACAATTTCCTCATGGCCATTTATTCAAGGAACTTCACATCAAAACTGACAATTTTGTTCTTACCGCTATTTGTTCTAGTTTTCACTGACTATACCTAGAGATGACCACATCTTGATGGTGAGCCTCCTAAAAATGACCACATTTTGAAAGCCCAACAGCCAATAATACAACAAATGGTGAAATTGCTTTGTATTTCATATAATTTGCGAATAGAAACTAGCACAGACATGAACAAATAATTTCTTTGCTGCCCTTTACAACCCTGATTTTGAGTTCAATAGGATTTGTCTTTTTAAACTGATCAAACAGACTGGCGAGATTTATATCAGCCTTCGCTCAACCACATTAACATGGTGCATTTCTTCACTTAAACCTAAACTTCTTAGACCAACGGTGTTTACACCTTCAATATTATTATACCCTTTTCACTAAATGAGTCGAATTTTACTAGATTTATTTAGTATTGGAATTCACACAGTAAGATAACTTTTTGATTTTCCTTTTTAAATAGGAATATGATATTTTATAATTGCTGGACAGAAAAAAGGTTCCAGCTAAAAATTTGTTTTGAGCAGTGACAGAAGACATGAAATAGTAAATCTCAACTTTGGAGTGTCTGAAGGCATTTTCTTTGCCCTTCCACAAAATGACTTTCTACTTTCACTCTGCCACTAACTTTTGCCATGACTTATTAACGCCAAGTGAAAACATAATATCTGAGGCATATTTCTGAAGCTACATGTCAGTGCTGGTGAGCAGTCATGGACTGCTGTTTTGAAGGGGCATCCGATAGCAAGATAGCCTTTCGAAAATCACTGAGCATTAGGTGGTACATATTGTTTACCTCTGTAGGAATAATGTTGTCACTCTTTATATCTCTGAGGGGAAACCTCTACGAGTGCAAATGTTCTATAGCTTCACACAATTTCAGTACATTATGTTTCCTGCAGAACACTGTGAAAGGGACATGGATTTACTTAGCAGGGTACTGCACAAAGTACAAGAAAACTAATATTGTAAAGATGCTAAAAATATAACACAAGGAAGTACACGTGAGGTTTCTTTTTTGTGACATTTACCCCAAACAGATGGGGTATTGATGTATGGGAGCATTCAGTATATAAGCTTCACTTCTGTTATCTTCTGAAGAGGGAAAAATGATTACTGTAAATAAATTGAGACCCACTGGAATACCCCTGTAGCATTTCTTCATGCACAGACCACAAAAAGCTTCCCCATATTGAACCTGTATTTCATTGACCTCTTTATCTTTTGGAGAGTTCAGGTGATGCAACTCAATTTCAAGAACATTGGAAATTTAACTCCTGTACCACTCAAGGAAAAATCTGAAACAAATGTACAAAAAAGTCACTAAACGCACTAAAAATAACTGGTAATTCTACCTTTATTGAAAATATTGTGAAATTAAATGAATAGGCCATTTTACAGTTATGGATGGAAGCGAGGCTGACGGTGACCTTGTTTTGGTACAAACCTTCCCGCTTTATTATGTAAATCAAGTTATTCTTATGCTAACTAGTATTTTTCAGGGAGAATTTCCATAACAAAGCAAAGGAGGTTTGTATCAAAACAAGGTCACCGTCAGCCTCACATTCACTCGAAGGCTAGGGTACAAAGTCCACAACTGTAAAATGGTCTATTGTGTTACTTGTGTTGCCATTATCTTTATGAACATTATAAATACACATGTGGCACATTTTAGCATTTTTGACCTTTGGACTCAGCTTACATGTACAGCTGTATCATTATAAATTATTATAAACAAAACGACCTTGTATATGAAAACATGACAAAACAAAACAGCAAAAAATGACAGTAAGGCATATAAAATAAAGGCTCCACCCTACCCCTGTCAAAATCAATGGTACATGTACAGGTATTACGCTCAATATGTCAATATAGCGCCAGAGGAAGTATAAATTACTCAAGCAATTAATCTTGAGCTACTTCTGCCAAATACCAATAAATTAGCACCAAATACCAATAAATTAACACCACTTAAATTTTTCAACAAGGCTTTTTTCAGCTGGATCACTACCATACGCACGCGACACGCGTGCACATACATGCTACAAATGTAAATATGGATGCAAATGTAGTTTATTCCCGGTTTTAACATAGATGTGGCAGTAGAAGCACGATATACAAAGCAAAATACATCGACTTTACCTTTTAAATTTCGAATATCCTTGAGAAAAAATCCAGCAACATAGGCAATCTCTTCCTCCCGCCAAATCGCTAAAAGAACGCGCGCCCGATTTCCCAAGCATTTGCGCCTCAGTGGTGCTGGTCAGCGACAGTCTGCATAACCGTTCGAGAACGAGGCACAACAATTGAAATCGCCCAAATTTCGTCGACCGTTACCACGTTCCATTGCCATCGATTTGCCACCAGCTTTTACTTCATACGTTTAACGCCATATTTATCAAGAGTTTTCGAATGTTCCTTCTTTGTGGGGTTGACTGTCGAGTATGGAGGAATCGGCCAGTCTTATTTGTTCGAATTTATCGAACGAATGTGTCCTCGAAGAACTTATAAAAATAATCGCTCGAGTTCGAGGGAACTGCATGCTTATAGACTGTTCGACGAAAAGGAAATTGCACTTATCCACCATGAAAGACATCTAGATAGCTCCATCGGCGACGATCAAGTAGTAACGATTGGATCCAAGAAAAGCAGCCGTTAGTACTTAGTACATAGACTTCGGTGAATCGTTGCTGTTAGCAGACATTGTAAAACTAAGAAGAGGCAGGAGAAATGCAAGGACAAACAAATGCTGAGGGAGCAACTAATCGGGAGTAAAAGAAATGCTCAGTAAGTATAAGAAAGTTCATTCTTACTGTTAATCCATTAATGATGCTATTTGATAATACCTACATTTACATTCCCAATATTCAGTAATCAACAAGGACTCACCCCTACTCCTGAAACTTTATTTGTCCTGTTGTTTTAAAAAATACTATAATCTTTTATTTGGTTGTTCTCTTCAGATAAAATTTATCTGAAGAGAACAACCAAATAAAAGATTATAGTATTTTTTAAAACAACAGGACAAATTCGATAATGGTCTTGGAAATTTAATAAGAATTGAAGCAAGTGTTAATTCCCCTCTAAGGCCAAAAATAACCTTATCCTCTAGTGCCTACTTTCTCCAAAGGCTTTTCCAAAATTTAAAAGGGGATTAAAGGCAGTGACTGCCGTGGTGCTGAAAACATAGAGTAGCTAGAATTTAGATCATGGTACCCTGCTTTCACTGATTTTTTTTTAATGATCACCCCATGTAAGGGATTCTGGAATCCGGGAAATTAATTTTTTGCTTATGGAATCCAGAATTCAGGCAATTTTTGTTGTGGAATCCTAAATTCTGAGCTTTGAAACCTGAAATACAGGTCAAACAATTGGAATCCAGAAACCAAGTAATCCACTGAAAAAGGTTCTGGAATCCGCAGCGTGGAATCCAGAATCTAAAACTGTCTTGGATTCCCTCATATGAGGCAATTATAGTATAATTAAACTTTTGTTCCCAAGATACACTGTAAGTGATGGCAATGTTGCAGAAGAAGCAGGTCCATGAAGTTTTAAGTAATATGTCAATAATGTCGTTATGGTAGTGATGTAGTGGGACACTCACTATAAAATTAATACAATGATTTATCTGGAGTCAATTGTCTTGTTACAAAAGGGTTTCTTCCATTCATTTTTTCATTTTGTTTTTGCTCAAAGAAGGTCTTAGTTTTAACAGGTACAGTGTAATCAGGATTATGATGACCGCTTGGGGTTAGATTTGAGACATGAAAGTTACAAGCCAGCAATTTGTTTAAACTAGTTAATTTTGATATCAGTTAACTCAGGAAATAAGTAAGTTTAGTCACATAGTGTGACTGCAGCCAGTAATAGTACTTGTAATATCTAATAGCAACCTTTATGGTATAAAAGGCTAGAATATTTAGACAGAAAAGGACAATAGTATTTTTCATGACAACCATCTACAGCTTTAGTTTCAATATTAATGGTCTCAATTATGTATAATTTCTGTTTGTTGCAGAAAAAGCTAGAGACCACCCTTTTCCAGTCAACCTCTATTTCGAAGAAGGATTGTTGTAAGTTCAAAGCTTGTATAAATGTGGAGTACATGTCTTCAGAGCAAGGAAATACAGACCAAGGAGATGACAAATCTGAGAAAAGTCCTTTGCAGGAGGCCTCTAGCATGGAGGAGTCAACAACTTAGCCTGTAAAAACCTCTTTGCCTAGCTGAACAGTAAAGCAAAATTGAAACAGTCACATGTAAGCCTGTCATTACTCAATGACAATAGAAAGGAGGAATGGCTTCTCCTCAGAGAAGGAGGCACCAGATAATGCTCCTGAATTTGCTTTGTGATAAGGAAATATAAGTTAATCCAGTGCTCTTAAAGAAATTCCAGATTATTTATGACTGGTCATACTTACAGGTACATGTGCATGTAGCTCTGCAAATACAGTAATCCTTTAATCACTCTCTGTTTATGACACTGTTTTTTAGAAAAAGATAAATGTGTGTAAACAGTACAAATCCTGATGGTGTTGATTTGTCCTGAGAATTCTGGTGGCAGGTAGATCAAATTGGTTGATGTGATAAATTTTTCATTAGAATCCTTTGGCTATTGTTTGCAAGTAATGTACCAGTCAGCAGGTTAAAAGGCCAATTAATGTACAAATGTTTCTTTTAAATCTATTTGCTTAACTGCAGGCATTTGAGTTCTGCTGGCACCACTTCACAGTACATGTGTACCGGTTACAGCAATTGCAACTGACCTGCTTGAACAAAAAACAAAACAAATTTAGGTACACCCTGCTTTTTGTCATGATTTAGTATGGAATTTTGCAAAGGATTGCAACATGACTCAAGAAAAAGAGTAATGAGAGACAGCAGTGTAGTTATTTTGCAGGCTAGCCAGATCAACCTTTTGTACTACATGTACATGTATACTGAATTTAAAATAATTATTAGCTTCTTTCATTGGGACCAACTACAGTGACAATGGTAATGTTGACATGCTGTGGAATACTTACAGCTGGTCATTACTTTAATGACCCTCAATTTTCTTAGAACAGGGCAAGTACTAGAAGCTCCAGCTGGTACTTCCTCTAAGAGCATATCCAATACTATACAGGAACCATTAGTAACAAAAATGAAGTTAAAGAAGTCTGATCTGAATTTGAATAGCTACATGTACCTAAACTATTTCTTAGTTTGCTAAATGCTATAACCCAGTTGTTATACCAGCAAAAATTGGAAATTGGTAGCAAGAATTAGGCCTTTCATTCTAATAGAGCCTAAAGACAAAAAATGCCACCAGAATCAAATTTTGTTTAATCTGTAAATAGCAATAAATTCAAAAATGTTAATTATTTATTAAAATGGGTGTCTTGAGGGTTCCATTTGGTTGGAACAGGATTTTGTCCTTAGATACAAAAGTTTAAGTAAGAAATAGTCTTGTCATAAGTAAATATTGGCCCAAGGGTAAAAAGATTTTTAACCTGTTTCTGAGTTGCAAAAACCTAAACAACTGAAATAGGTTTGAGGCAACTCTGAAACACCTACAGCTGTATGTAGAATATCTTACACATTTAGATGAAGAACACTTTTCTTATAATATTAATAGTTAGTAATGATCTGATAGAGCATAGAGTGGAGACAAGTAAACATCAACGAACTGTAAAATTGGGAATTAATATGAAGAGCTGTATGTACAGCTGTATACTGTAGTTTGTAAAGTCTGTAATAATGTGTAAGCCACTTTGGTTTATGGAATAAATCATTTGAACATTATAATGGGAGGTCACTGCTAGAATTTCTTTCAGTAACTTTAATGTTTGAAGCTATAAACTTCAAGATTAATTATAGTCACTTGTTAAGAACCTGAAGTGAGCCATGTTATAATTAAAAATAATTTAAAAATTTTATCGCATTTGCTACAACTCAGGCAAACTCGTTTAAACCTTGGAATTTACATTTGCTACTTGTGAAAAAATGCTCAATTTTATGGGTTTGATGACATTTGCTAACCAAATTAAAGTCAGAATTTGATTACATTTGCTACCTGAGCGAAAAATTGTACAATAGTAACAGTTTGATCAGATTTGCTGCTTAAGCAACTTTGTTCAAAACTTGACTTTTGACCACATTTGCCGCTACAAGCAAAATTCTGTGTTTGATCAAATTTGCACACCCTAGAAAATTTGTTCAAAGTTTAGGTTTGCTAACATTTGCTTCGTGGGCAAACATGTTTAATACAAAGAGTTTGGTTACATTTGCTATGCAAAGCAATCTGGTTCAATTATGAAAATTTGATCACCCATGATAACCCAAGCAAACATCGTTCAAATTAGATACTTGGCTCACATTTGCAAAGCTGCGTAAACGTTCTGAAAATAACAGGTTTACATGCTTTTACATCTAAAGCAAAAGCTGTGCAAAACAGCAGATTTGCGCTATCATTTGCGTAATGTGCAAATATAGTTCAAAGAAACATATTTGCCTACACATTTGAACCATCTGCAAATGACCCTCAAATCCATGGCTGCCCATTATCTTTGCACCAAGATGTAAATGTTGTGCAAATGTGGCATTTACCGTCATTGCTACGGATAGCAAATCTAGTGCAATATCAGTCTTTGCCCTTGCGCAAAATTGTGCAAATGTGGTATTTGCTACACATTTGCTGTAATTTGGCTACCCTAGTAAATCCATTTTTTCGTCCAGTGTCTAAACATTTCCCAGATTGTTGTAACTTGCTGCTACGTCACCATGCTTTTCACCGTAAATCTCTTTTCTAATGATGAGAGCCTTCTCATAGTATTCTTTAGCTTCACTGTACTGGCCAAGGTAACTGTAAACAGTTCCCAGATTGTTGTAACTTACTGCTACGTCACCATGCTTTTCACCGTAAATCTCTTTTGTAATGATGAGAGCCTTCTCATAGTATTCTTTAGCTTCACTGTACTGGCCAAGGTAACTGTAAACATTTCCCAGATTGTTGTAACTTACTGCTACGTCACCATGCTTTTCACCGTAAATCTCTTTTGTAATGATGAGAGCCTTCTCATAGTATTCTTTAGCTTCACTGTACTGGCCAAGGTAACTGTAAACATTTCCCAGATTGTTGTAACTTACTGCTACGTCACCATGCTTTTCCCCGTAAATCTCTTTTCTAATGATGAGAGCCTTCTCATAGTATTCTTTAGCTTCACTGTACTGGCCAAGGTAACTGTAAACAGTTCCCAGATTGTTGTAACTTACTGCTACGTCACCATGCTTTTCACCGTAAATCTCTTTTCTAATGATGAGAGCCTTCTCACAGTATTCTTTAGCTTCACTGTACTGGCCAAGGTCACTGTAAACATTTCCCAGATTGTTGTAACTTGCTGCTACGTCACCATGCTTTTCACCGTAAATCTCTTTTCTAATGATGAGAGCCTTCTCACAGTATTCTTTAGCTTCACTGTACTGGCCAAGGTCACTGTAAACATTTCCCAGATTGTTGTAACCTGCTGCTACGTCACCATGCTTTTCACCGTAAATCTCTTTTCTAATGACGAGAGCCTTCTCATAGTATTCTTTAGCTTCACTGTACTGGCCAAGGTAACTGTAAACAGTTCCCAGATTGTTGTAACTTACTGCTACGTCACCATGCTTTTCACCGTAAATCTCTTTTGTAATGATGAGAGCCTTCTCATAGTATTCTTTAGCTTCACTGTACTGGCCAAGGTAACTGTAAACATTTCCCAGATTGTTGTAACTTGCTGCTTCGTGACCATGCTTTTCACCGTAAATCTCTTTTGTCATGATGAGAGCCTTCTCATAGTATTCTTTAGCTTCACTGTACTGGCCAAGGTAACTGTAAACATTTCCCAGATTGTTGTAACTTGCTGCTACGTCACCATGCTTTTCACCGTAAATCTCTTTTCTAATGATGAGAGCCTTCTCACAGTATTCTTTAGCTTTACTGTACTGTCCAAGGTTTCTGTAAACAGTTCCCAGGTAGTTGTAACTTGCTGCTACGTCACCATGCTTTTCACCGTAAATCTCTTTTGTAATGATGAGAGCCTTCTCATAATATTCTTTAGCTTCACTGTACTGTCCAAGGTCACTGTAAACAAATCCCAGGTTGTTGTAACTTGCTGCTACGTCACCATGCTTTTCACCGTAAATCTCTTTTGTAATGATGAGAGCCTTCTCACAGTATTCTTTAGCTTCACTGTACTGGCCAAGGTTTCTGTAAACATTTCCCAGATTGTTGTAACTTGCTGCTACGTCACCATGCTTTTCACCGTAAATCTCTTTTGTAATGATGAGAGCCTTCTCATAGTATTCTTTAGCTTCACTGTACTGGCCAAGGTCACTGGAAACATTTCCCAGATTGTTGTAACTTGCTGCCACGTCACCATGCTTTTCACCGTAAATCTCTTTTCTAATGATGAGAGCCTTCTCATAGTATTCTTTAGCTTCACTGTACTGTCCAAGGTTTTTGTAAACAGTTCCCAGGTTGTTGTAACTTGCTGCTACGTCACCATGCTTTTCACCGTAAATCTCTTTTCTAATGATGAGAGCCTTCTCATAATATTCTTTAGCTTCACTGTACTGGCCAAGGTAACTGTAAACAGTTCCCAGATTGTTGTAACTTGCTGCTACGTCACCATGCTTTTCACCGTAAATCTCTTTTGTAATGATGAGAGACTTCTCATAGTATTCTTTAGCTTCACTGTACTGTCCAAGGTTTCTGTAAACAATTCCCAGGTTATAGCAACTTGCTGCTACGCCACCATGCTTTTCACCGTAAATCTCTTTTCTAATGATGAGAGCCTTCTCATAGTATTCTTTAGCTTCACTGTACTGGTCAAGGTAACTGTAAACAGTTCCCAGATTGTTGTAACTTGCTGCTACGTCAAAATGCTTTTCACCGTAAATCTCTTTTCTAATGATGAGAGCCTAATCATAGTATTCTTTAGCTTCACTGTACTGGCCAAGGTAACTGTAAACAGTTCCCAGATTGTTGTAACTTGATGCTACGTCACTATGCTTTTCACCGTAAATCTCTTTTCTAATGATGAGAGCCTTCTCATAGTATTCTTTAGCTTCACTGTACTGGCCAAGGTCACTGTAAACATTTCCTGGGCTGTTGTAACTTGCTGCTACGTCACCATGCTTTTCACCGGAAATCTCTTTTGTAATGATGAGAGCCTTCTCATAGTATTCTTTAGCTTCACTGTACTGGCCAAGGTCACTGTAAACATTTCCCAGGTTGTTGTAACTTGCTGCTACGTCACCATGCTTTTCACCGTAAATCTCTTTTCTAATGATGAGAGCCTTCTCATAGTATTCTTTAGCTTCACTGTACTGTCCAAGGTTTCTGTAAACAATTCCCAGGTTGTTGTAACTTGCTGCTACGTCACCATGCTTTTCCCCGTAAATCTCTTTTCTAATGATGAGAGCCTTCTCATAGTATTCTTTAGCTTCACTGTACTGGCCAAGGTCACTGTAAACAGTTCCCAGATTGTTGTAACTTGCTGCTACGTCACCATGCTTTTCACCGTAAATCTCTTTTGTAATGATGAGAGACTTCTCGTAGTATTCTTTAGCTTCACTGTACTGTCCAAGGTTTCTGTAAACAATTCCCTGGTTATAGCAACTTGCTGCTACGCCACAATGCTTTTCACCGTAAATCTCTTTTCTAATGATGAGAGCCTTCTCATAGTATTCTTTAGCTTCACTGTACTGGCCAAGGTAACTGTAAACAGTTCCCAGATTGTTGTAACTTGCTGCTACGTCACCATGCTTTTCACCGTAAATCTCTTTTCTAATGATGAGAGCCTTCTCATAGTATTCTTTAGCTTCACTGTACTGGCCAAGGTAACTGTAAACAGTTCCCAGATTGTTGTAACTTGCTGCTACGTCACAATGCTTTTCACCGTAAATCTCTTTTCTAATGATGAGAGCCTTCTCCTAGTATTCTTTAGCTTCACTGTACTGGCCAAGGTCACTGTAAACATTTTCCAGGCTGTTGTAACTTGCTGCTACGTCACCATGCTTTTCACCGGAAATCTCTTTTGTAATGATGAGAGCCTTCTCATAGTATTCTTTAGCTTCACTGTACTGGCCAAGGTCACTGTAAACATTTCCCAGGTTGTTGTAACTTGCTGCTACGTCACCATGCTTTTCACCGTAAATCTCTTTTCTAATGATGAGAGCCTTCTCATAGTATTCTTTAGCTTCACTGTACTGTCCAAGGTTTCTGTAAACAATTCCCAGGTTGTTGTAACTTGCTGCTACGTCACCATGCTTTTCCCCGTAAATCTCTTTTCTAATGATGAGAGCCTTCTCATAGTATTCTTTAGCTTCACTGTACTGGCCAAGGTTACTGTAAACAGTTCCCAGATTGTTGTAACTTGCTGCTACGTCACCATGCTTTTCACCGTAAATCTCTTTTGTTATGATGAGAGCCTTCTCATAGTATTCTTTAGCTTCACTCTACTGGCCAAGGTAACTGTAAACAATTCCCAGATTGTTGTAACTTAATGCTACGTCACCATGCTTTTCACCGTAAATCTCTTTTCTAATGATGAGAGCCTTCTCATAGTATTCTTTAGCTTCACTGTACTGGCCAAGGTGACTGTAAACAATTCCCAGATTGTTGTAACTTGCTGCTACGTCACCATGCTTTTCACCGTAAATCTCTTTTCTAATGATGAGAGACTTCTCATAGTATTCTTTAGCTTCATTGTACTGGCCAAGGTAACTGTAAACAGTTCCCAGATTGTTGTAACTTACTGCTACGTCACCATGCTTTTCACCGTAAATCTCTTTTGTCATGATGAGAGCCTTCTCATAGTATTCTTTAGCTTCACTGTAATGGCCAAGGTAACTGTAAACATTTCCCAGATTGTTGTAACTTACTGCTACGTCACCATGCTTTTCACCGTAAATCTCTTTTCTAATGGTGAGAGCCTTCTCACAGTATTCTTTAGCTTCACTGTACTGTGCAAGGTTTCTGTAAACAGTTCCCGGGTAGTTGTAACTTGCTGCTACGTCACCATGCTTTTCAACGTAAATCTCTTTTGTAATGATGAGAGCCTTCTCACAGTATTCTTTAGCTTCACTGTACTGTCCAAGGTTTCTGTAAACAGTTCCCAGGTAGTTGTAACGTGCTGCTATGTCACCATGCTTTTCACCGTAAATCTCTTCTCTAATGATGAGAGCCTTCTCATAGTATTCTTTAGCTTCACTGTACTGGCCAAGGTCACTGTAAACATTTCTCAGATAGTTGTAACTTGCTGCTACGTCACCATGCTTTTCACCATAAATCTCTTTTCTAATGATGAGAGCCTTCTTATAGTATTCTTTAGCTTCACTGTACTGGCCAAGGTAACTGTGAACAGTTCCCAGATTGTTGTAACTTACTGCTACGTCACCATGCTTTTCACTGTAAATCTCTTTTGTAATGATGAGAGCCTTCTCATAGTATTCTTTAGCTTCACTGTACTGGCCAAGGTAACTGTAAACATTTCCCAGATTGTTGTAACTTGCTGCTACGTCACCATGCTTTTCACCGTAAATCTCTTTTCTAATGATGAGAGCCTTCTCATAGTATTCTTTAGCTTCACTGTACTGGCCAAGGTAACTGTAAACATTTCCCAGATTGTTGTAACTTGCTGCTACGTCACCATGCTTTTCACCGTAAATCTCTTTTCTAATGATGAGAGACTTCTCATAGTATTCTTTAGCTTCACTGTACTGTCCAAGGTTTCTGTAAACAATTCCCAGGTTATAGCAACTTGCTGCTACGCCACCATGCTTTTACCGTAAATCTCTTTTCTAATGATGAGAGCCTTCTCATAGTATTCTTTAGCTTCACTGTACTGGTCAAGGTAACTGTAAACAGTTCCCAGATTGTTGTAACTTGCTGCTACGTCACCATGCTTTTCACCGTAAATCTCTTTTCTAATGATGAGAGCCTTCTCATAGTATTCTTTAGCTTCACTGTAGTGGCCAAGGTAACTGTAAACAGTTCCCAGATTGTTGTAACTTGATGCTACGTCACTATGCTTTTCACCGTAAATCTCTTTTCTAATGATGAGAGCCTTCTCATAGTATTCTTTAGCTTCACTGTACTGGCCAAGGTCACTGTAAACATTTCCCAGGCTGTTGTAACTTGCTGCTACGGCACCATGCTTTTCACCGGAAATCTCTTTTGTAAAGATGAGAGCCTTCTCATAGTATTCTTTAGCTTCACTGTACTGGCCAATGTCACTGTAAACATTTCCCAGGTTGTTGTAACTTGCTGCTACGTCACCATGCTTTTCACCGTAAATCTCTTTTCTAATGATGAGAGCCTTCTCATAGTATTCTTTAGCTTCACTGTACTGTCCAAGGTTTCTGTAAACAATTCCCTGGTTATAGCAACTTGCTGCTACGCCACCATGCTTTTCACCGTAAATCTCTTTTCTAATGATGAGAGCCTTCTCATAGTATTCTTTAGCTTCACTGTACTGGCCAAGGTAACTGTAAACAGTTCCCAGATTGTTGTAACTTGCTGCTACGTCACCATGCTTTTCACCGTAAATCTCTTTTTAATGATGAGAGCCTTCTCATAGTATTCTTTAGCTTCACTGTACTGGCCAAGGTAACCGTAAACAGTTCCCAGATTGTTGTAACTTGCTGCTACGTCAGTATGCTATTCACCGTAAATCTCTTTTCTAATGATGAGAGCCTTCTCCTAGTATTCTTTAGCTTCACTGTACTGGCCAAGGTCACTGTAAACATTTCCCAGGCTGTTGTAACTTGCTGCTACGTCACCATGCTTTTCACCGGAAATCTCTTTTGTAATGATGAGAGCCTTCTCATAGTATTCTTTAGCTTCACTGTACTGGCCAAGGTCACTGTAAACATTTCCCAGGTTGTTGTAACTTGCTGCTACGTCACCATGCTTTTCACCGTAAATCTCTTTTCTAATGATGAGAGCCTTCTCATAGTATTCTTTAGCTTCACTGTACTGTCCAAGGTTTCTGTAAACAATTCCCAGGTTGTTGTAACTTGCTGCTACGTCACCATGCTTTTCCCCGTAAATCTCTTTTCTAATGATGAGAGCCTTCTCATAGTATTCTTTAGCTTCACTGTACTGGCCAAGGTTACTGTAAACAGTTCCCAGATTGTTGTAACTTGCTGCTACGTCACCATCCTTTTCACCGTAAATCTCTTTTGTTATGATGAGAGCCTTCTCATAGTATTCTTTAGCTTCACTCTACTGGCCAAGGTAACTGTAAACAATTCCCAGATTGTTGTAACTTAATGCTACGTCACCATGCTTTTCACCGTAAATCTCTTTTCTAATGATGAGAGCCTTCTCATAGTATTCTTTAGCTTCACTGTACTGGCCAAGGTGACTGTAAACAATTGCCAGATTGTTGTAACTTGCTGCTACGTCACCATGCTTTTCACCGTAAATCTCTTTTCTAATGATGAGAGCCTTCTCTTAGTATTCTTTAGCTTCATTGTACTGGCCAAGGTAACTGTAAACAGTTCCCAGATTGTTGTAACTTACTGCTACGTCACCATGCTTTTCACCGTAAATCTCTTTTGTCATGATGAGAGCCTTCTCATAGTATTCTTTAGCTTCACTGTACTGGCCAAGGTAACTGTAAACATTTCCCAGATTGTTGTAACTTGCTGCTACGTCACCATGCTTTTCACCGGAAATCTCTTTTCTAATGGTGAGACCCTTCTCACAGTATTCTTTAGCTTCACTGTACTGTCCAAGGTTTCTGTAAACAGTTCCCAGGTAGTTGTAACGTGCTGCTACGTCACCATGCTTTTCACCGTAAATCTCTTCTCTAATGATGAGAGCCTTCTCATAGTATTCTTTAGCTTCACTGTACTGGCCAAGGTCACTGTAAACATTTCTCAGATTGTTGTAACTTGCTGCTACGTCACCATGCTTTTCACCGTAAATCTCTATTCTAATGATGAGAGCCTTCTCATAGTATTCTTTAGCTTCACTGTACTGGCCAAGGTAACTGTAAACAGTTCCCAGATTGTTGTAACTTACTGATACGTCACCATGCTTTTCACCGTAAATCTCTTTTCTAATGATGAGAGCCTTCTCACAGTATTCTTTAGCTTCACTGTACTGGCCAAGGTCACTGTAAACATTTCCCAGATTGTTGTAACTTGCTGCTACGTCACCATGCTTTTCACCGTAAATCTCTTTTCTAATGATGAGAGCCTTCTCATAGTATTCTTTAGCTTCACTGTACTGGCCAAGGTAACTGTAAACAGTTCCCAGATTGTTGTAACTTACTGCTACGTCACCATGCTTTTCACCGTAAATCTCTTTTGTAATGATGAGAGCCTTCTCATAGTATTCTTTAGCTTCACTGTACTGGCCAAGGTAACTGTAAACATTTCCCAGATTGTTGTAACTTGCTGCTACGTCACCATGGTTTTTACCGTAAATCTCTTTTGTCATGATGAGAGCCTTCTCATAGTATTCTTTAGCTTCACTGTACTGGCCAAGGTAACTGTAAACATTTCCCAGATTGTTGTAACTTGCTGCTACGTCACCATGGTTTTTACCGTAAATCTCTTTTGTCATGATGAGAGCCTTCTCATAGTATTCTTTCTCTTCACTGTACTGGCCAAGGTAACTGTAAACATTTCCCAGATTGTTGTAACTTGCTGCTACGTCACCATGCTTTTCACCGTAAATCTCTTTTCTAATGATGAGAGCCTTCTCACAGTATTCTTTAGCTTCACTGTACTGTGCACTGTTTCTGTAAACAGTTCCTGGGTAGTTGTAACTTGCTGCTACGTCACCATGCTTTTCACCGTAAATCTCTTTTTTGTAATGATGAGAGCCTTCTCACAGTATTCTTTAGCTTTACTGTACTGTCCAAGGTTTCTGTAAACAGTTCCCAGGTAGTTGTAACTTGCTGCTACGTCACCATGCTTTTCACCGTAAATCTCTTTTGTAATGATGAGAGCCTTCTCATAATATTCTTTAGCTTCACTGTACTGTCCAAGGTCACTGTAAACAAATCCCAGGTTGTTGTAACTTGCTGCTACGTCACCATGCTTTTCACCGTAAATCTCTTTTGTAATGATAAGAGCCTTCTCACAGTATTCTTTAGCTTCACTGTACTGGCCAAGGTTTCTGTAAACATTTCCCAGATTGTTGTAACTTGCTGCTACGTCACCATGCTTTTCACCGTAAATCTCTTTTGTAATGATGAGAGCCTTCTCATAGTATTCTTTAGCTTCACTGTACTGGCCAAGGTCACTGTAAACATTTCCCAGATTGTTGTAACTTGCTGCCACGTCACCATGCTTTTCACCGTAAATCTCTTTTCTAATGATGAGAGCCTTCTCATAGTATTCTTTAGCTTCACTGTACTGTCCAAGGTTTTTGTAAACAGTTCCCAGGTTGTTGTAACTTGCTGCTACGTGACCATGCTTTTCACCGTAAATCTCTTTTCTAATGATGAGAGCCTTCTCATAATATTCTTTAGCTTCACTGTACTGGCCAAGGTAACTGTAAACAGTTCCCAGATTGTTGTAACTTACTGCTACGTCACCATGCTTTTCACCGTAAATCTCTTTTCTAATGATGAGAGCCTTCTCACAGTATTCTCTAGCTTCACTGTACTGGCCAAGGTAACTGTAAACATTTCCCAGATTGTTGTAACTTGCTGCTACGTCACCATGGTTTTTACCGTAAATCTCTTTTGTCATGATGAGAGCCTTCTCATAGTATTCTTTAGCTTCACTGTACTGGCCAAGGTAACTGTAAACATTTCCCAGATTGTTGTAACTTGCTGCTACGTGACCATGGTTTTTACCGTAAATCTCTTTTGTCGTGATGAGAGCCTTCTCATAGTATTCTTTCTCTTCACTGTACTGGCCAAGGTAACTGTAAACATTTCCCAGATTGTTGTAACTTGCTGCTACGTCACCATGCGTTTCACCGTAAATGTCTTTTCTAATGATGAGAGCCTTCTCATAGTATTCTTTAGCTTCACTGTACTGTCCAAGGTTTTTGTAAACAGTTCCCAGGTTGTTGTAACTTGCTGCTACGTCACCATGCTTTTCACCGTAAATCTCTTTTCTAATGATGAGAGCCTTCTCATAATATTCTTTAGCTTCACTGTACTGGCCAAGGTAACTGTAAACAGTTCCCAGATTGTTGTAACTTGCTGCTACGTCACCATGCTTTTCACCGTAAATCTCTTTTCTAATGATGAGAGACTTCTCATAGTATTCTTTAGCTTCACTGTACTGTCCAAGGTTTCTGTAAACAATTCCCTGGTTATAGCAACTTGCTGCTACGCCACCATGCTTTTCACCGTAAATCTCTTTTCTAATGATGAGAGCCTTCTCATAGTATTCTTTAGCTTCACTGTACTGGCCAAGGTAACTGTAAACAGTTCCCAGATTGTTGTAACTTGCTGCTACGTCACCATGCTTTTCACCGTAAATCTCTTTTCTAATGATGAGAGCCTTCTCATAGTATTCTTTAGCTTCACTGTACTGGCCAAGGTAACTGTAAACAGTTCCCAGATTGTTGTAACTTGCTGCTACGTCACCATGCTTTTCACCGTAAATCTCTTTTCTAATGATGAGAGCCTTCTCATAGTATTCTTTAGCTTCACTGTACTGGCCAAGGTCACTGTAAACATTTCCCAGGCTGTTGTAACTTGCTGCTACGTCACCATGCTTTTCACCGGAAATCTCTTTTTGTAATGATGAGAGCCTTCTCATAGTATTCTATAGCTTCACTGTACTGGCCAAGGTCACTGTAAACATTTCCCAGGTTGTTGTAACTTGCTGCTACGTAACCATGCTTTTCACCGTAAATCTCTTTTCTAATGATGAGAGCCTTCTCATAGTATTCTTTAGCTTCACTGTACTGTCCAAGGTTTCTGTAAACAATTCCCAGGTTGTTGTAACTTGCTGCTACGTCACTATGCTTTTCGCCGTAAATCTCTTTTCTAATGATGAGAGCCTTCTCATAGTATTCTTTAGCTTCACTGTACTGGCCAAGGTCACTGTAAACAGTTCCCAGATTGTTGTAACTTGCTGCTACGTCACCATGCTTTTCACCGTAAATCTCTTTTGTTATGATGAGAGCCTTCTCATAGTATTCTTTAGCTTCACTGTACTGGCCAAGGTAACTGTAAACAATTCCCAGATTGTTTTAACTTGCTGCTACGTCACCATGCTTTTCACGGGAAATCTCTTTTCTAATGATGAGAGCCTTCTCATAGTATTCTTTAGCTTCACTGTACTGGCCAAGGTGACTGTAAACAATTCCCAGATTTTTGTAACTTGCTGCTACGTCACCATGCTTTTCACCGGAAATCTCTTTTCTAATGATGAGAGCCTGCTCATAGTATTCTTTTAGCTTCATTGTACTGGCCAAGGTAACTGTAAACAGTTCCCAGATTGTTGTAACTTACTGCTACGTCACCATGCTTTTCACCGTGAATCTCTTTTGTCATGATGAGACCTTCTCATAGTATTCTTTAGCTTCACTGTACTGGCCAAGGTAACTGTAAACATTTCCCAGATTGTTGTAACTTGCTGCTACGTCACTATGCTTTTCTCCGTAAATCTCTTTTCTAATGGTGAGAGCCTTCTCACAGTATTCTTTAGCTTCACTGTACTGTGCAAGGTTTCTGTAAACAGTTCCCGGGTAGTTGTAACTTGCTGCTACGTCACCATGCTTTTCACCGTAAATCTCTTTTGTAATGATGAGAGCCTTCTCATAGTATTCTTTAGCTTCACTGTACTGTCCAAGGTCACTGTAAACAAATCCCAGGTTGTTGTAACTTGCTGCTACGTCACCATGCTTTTCACCGTAAATCTCTTTTCTAATGATGAGAGCCTTCTCATAGTATTCTTTAGCTTCACTGTACTGTCCAAGGTTTCTGTAAACAGTTCCCAGGTTGTTGTAACTTGCTGCTACGTCACCATGCTTTTCACCGTAAATCTCTTTTGTAATGATGAGAGCCTTCTCATAATATTCTTTAGCTTCACTGTACTGGCCAAGGTAACTGTAAACAGTTCCCAGGTTGTTGTAACTTGCTGCTACGTCACCATGCTTTTCACCGTAAATCTCTTTTGTAATGATGAGAGCCTTCTCATAGTATTCTTTAGCTTCACTGTACTCTCAAGGTTTTTGTAAACAATTCCCCAGGTTATAGCAACTTGCTGCTACGCCACCATTCTTTTCACCGTAAATCTCTTTTCTAATGATGAGAGCCTTCTCATAGTATTCTTTAGCTTCACTGTATTGGCCAAGGTAACTGTAAACAGTTCCCAGATTGTTGTAACTTGCTGCTACGTCACCATGCTTTTCACTGTAAATCTCTTTTCTAATGATGAGAGCCTTCTCAAAGTATTCTTTAGCTTCACTGTACTGGCCAAGGTCACTGTAAACAGTTCCCAGATTGTTGTAACTTGCTGCTACGTCACCATGCTTTTCACCGTAAATCTCTTTTGTTATGATGAGAGCCTTCTCATAGTATTCTTTAGCTTCACTGTACTGGCCAAGGTAACTGTAAACAATTCCCAGATTGTTGTAACTTGCTGCTACGTCACCATGCTTTTCACGGTAAATCTCTTTTCTAATGATGAGAGCCTTCTCATAGTATTCTTTAGCTTCACTGTACTGGCCAAGGTGACTGTAAACAATTCCCAGATTGTTGTAACTTGCTGCTACGTCACCATTCTTTTCACCGTAAATCTCTTTTCTAATGATGAGAGCCTTCTTATAGTATTCTTTAGCTTCATTGTACTGGCCAAGGTAACTGTAAACAGTTCCCAGATTGTTGTAACTTACTGCTACGTCACCATGCTTTTCACCGTAAATCTCTTTTGTCATGATGAGAGCCTTCTCATAGTATTCTTTAGCTTCACTGTACTGGCCAAGGTAACTGTAAACATTTCCCAGATTGTTGTAACTTGCTGCTACGTCACCATGCTTTTCACCGGAAATCTCTTTTCTAATGGTGAGAGCCTTGTCACAGTATTCTTTAGCTTCACTGTACTGTGCAAGGTTTCTGTAAACAGTTCCCGGGTAGTTGTAACTTGCTGCTACGTCACCATGCTTTTCACCGTAAATCTCTTTTGTAATGATGAGAGCCTTCTCACAGTATTCTTTAGCTTCACTGTACTGTCCAAGGTTTCTGTAAACAGTTCCCAGGTAGTTGTAACTTGCTGCTATGTCACCATGCTTTTCACCGTAAATCTCTTTTGTAACGATGAGAGCCTTCTCATAGTATTCTTTTAGCTTCACTGTACTGTCCAAGGTCACTGTAAACAAATCCCAGGTTGTTGTAACTTGCTGCTACGTCACCATGCTTTTCACCGTAAATCTCTTTTCTAATGATGAGAGCCTTCTCCCAGTATTTTTTAGCTTCACTGTACTGGCCAAGGTTTCTGTAAACATTTCCAGATTGTTGTAGCTTGCTGCTACGTCACAATGCTTTTCACCGTAAATCTCTTTTCTAATGATGAGAGCCTTCTCATTGTATTCTTTAGCTTCACTGTACTGGCCAAGGTCACTGTAAACATTTCCCAGATTGTTGTAACTTGCTGCCACGTCACCATGCTTTTCACCGTAAATCTCTTTTCTAATGATGAGAGCCTTCTCATAGTATTCTTTAGCTTCACTGTACTGTCAAGGTTTCTGTAAACAGTTCCCAGGTTGTTGTAACTTGCTGCTACGTCACCATGCTTTTTCACCGTAAATCTCTTTTCTAATGATGAGAGCCTTCTCATAATATTCTTTAGCTTCACTGTACTGGCCAAGGTAACTGTAAACAGTTCCCAGATTGTTGTAACTTGCTGCTACGTCACCATGCTTTTCACCGTAAATCTCTTTTGTTATGATGAGAGCCTTCTCATAGTATTCTTTAGCTTCACTGTACTGGCCAAGGTAACTGTAAACAATTCCCAGATTGTTGTAACTTGCTGCTACGTCACCATGCTTTTCACGGTAAATCTCTTTTCTAATGATGAGAGCCTTCTCATAGTATTCTTTAGCTTCACTGTACTGGCCAAGGTGACTGTAAACAATTCCCAGATTGTTGTAACTTGCTGCTACGTCACCATGCTTTTCACCGTAAATCTCTTTTCTAATGATGAGAGCCTTCTCATAGTATTCTTTAGCTTCACTGTACTGGCCAAGGGCTATGTAAACGTTTCCTTGTGTGCTGTTTATGTTCGCTCTTAACAATTTGTCTTCCTTGAAATCATTAAGAAAATGTATAAAATTGCAGATTGACGTACTAAAACGATATGCATCCGACGGGTTACTAAGGTCACAGCAAACATCAGCGGCTAAAAAGCCACGAAACTAACTTTCTAGGGTTGATTGAAGTTAGGAATACTTTTGATTTAGTGAAATCGGTGTTAACAATTACGTGTAATACTTTACAGTGACTTGTAATTACACGTAACTTAGCAAACGCATGCCTACTTGAATGTAACCGATTTCTGTTCTCCTCCATTAAAAGTGAAAGATCTCAATAACATCAAAATGCACTTAACTATATTTGTTGAATCAATTTTAGGTGTTATAATTAACTTGAGCACTTCATGAACGATGTTGTGCATCCTTATAAAGGTATATGAGCCGTCTTTGTCGTGTGAACAGGACAATAAGGAGGCTTTGAAAATTTTAGTTTTGATCAATTCTTCTGTTTGCCCAGTGATACGTAATTTAACGAAGTCAACAGCAACTTCCATCGGAAGAGACTCAGGTGCGCATAGAGAAAACAAATACAATACTTCTCGCAGAACGTCATCACTTTCTAAAGCTCTCATAATTGCCATTTGAATAGCAGTAGTTGTTGTTTCGGAGTACGCTATGTTCTGGTTTGCAAGAAGTTTTTTCTGTCGCTTCACGTTCGCCGTGGAAAGTGCTTCAAGTAGTCTTTCCAGTGGAAGTTCGCAGAACCACTGACCACAATGGTTTTGTACATAAAAGGCAGCAGCTGCTAAAGCAAGTGGCTGATACTCGAGAACTTCAGCGACTTTTTCATCTTGGTTCTGATCCTGAATCTGAGATACTTGTCGTAATAGGTTCACTGCGTCATCGGGATGCATTCCATTGCTAAGAGACTCATGGTAAATAAGTGGAGCATTGAAGGGTATTGAGCTGCTATCTTGAGTAGTTATTAGCACCTGACCATGGCCCCATTCTTCACTACCGGTCGGAGGCAGATCCTTACAAACCAGTGACAGGTCAAAACATTATCTGCAATTATCAACCAGTTGGAGAAATGCTTCGTCTTTGGGTAAATGACTCGCTTTAGATACTGGATTTTTGTCTTGGGTTCTCCTTTGTAGAAGTCTCGAGGTTGGTGAGGTGTGTATTCTGTTATTCCCAAATGTCTTGCCAGACTAGAATAGGAGTCTGCAAGTGAATCTAGCGTTTCTGCATTTGGGGCTGCAACAAATGTAAGACGGTCGTTTTCTTGCAACCTCCTATCGAAAATGTCTTGTCCCAGTTGTCGAGCTAATTGGCCTTTTCCGCAGCCTGGTATTCCTGATAGATAAACGGTGCTGATAGCTCCATTACTTTCGTTGTAAAAAGCTCGTCCAGTTTTTGTGATTCTTTTGACATCACTTGATCGTTTGATGATTTTATGTGATGGCTTGAATATCAGAGCACAGAAAGAGTCGACTTTGGAATTGATTTCCTGAGTAAAGTGTTTCTACTTCTTCCTGTTTTGTTTGTAATGTGGCTTGGGTCGACTGTAATTCCGAGGTAAGATTTTGTTTTCTTGTTCTTTGGTTTCAACTCAGCTTTAAGATTATCAGCCTGCATTTTAAGGCTGTTTACTCGAGTTGTTGGAAAGTCTGTCTGGTTTTTATATCATCAACTTCATTTCTTGGAAGCTTCAGTGAATTAAAAGCAGCTAACACTCTTGCTACGTAATTATGGAATTCAGCATCAGTAAGTTCAACCTCGTTCAAGTGAGCGATATCATTTCGAACTTGTCTGAGATCGTCAACTTCTTTTCTGACTGCGGGACTAAGAGTACTGCCAATGCAATCCAGTACAAAATAGCAACAAATAGGCAACTGCAATCCCACTCAGCTGTGTTTCCCCTTTGTATTGTCGCCAAAAGTCGCGCATTCTTTGTGTGACTCTTTCGTGATTCTTTTGTGTAGAAATCGCGGCCATTTTGGCGAAATATCTTTCCATTCCCCAAACGGCGTTGTCTTGTAAAAAATCCCCCTCGTTTGAAGACTTTTCGAAGCCCTTGGGAACTAAGTTGAAGGCGATGTAACATGTGCTCTGAAATAGTTTAATTGCTCCAAAGTGTACTCCATGTTTGATTGGGATCTAGTAAAAATGTGCCAAGGAAGAACATCAGGTATCAGTAGATTATTTCAGAAAGTATTTCAAGTCAAAGATACGGGAAAAAAATCGTATCCAGCCTTTATCAACTGCCAAACTCTGCACTCCATAAGTCTGCACAGAAAAAACATTTTTCTCCTGGAATTTTTTTAAAGAAAGCTCTTGATGAGCTTTTATTCAATCGTCAAAAATTGCAAATCTAGAAAAATGATGATTTTTTACCCTGGATGATACCTTAATATGTCAAAAGCACAGCAATAGAAAATCAGAATAAACTAATTGAGGAATAGCTTTCCTCTTTTATGTCGTCATGCATTTACAGTTTGTATGAAATAAATCGCAGCTCATTTCCACGCGAGCGAGCACATTTCCCATGTGCAACGCTTTTTTCAGTTCGTCGTGTTCCTCGCAAGAGGCACTCGATATAAAGCTTGTAACGC